TTATTCAGAGGAGGAGCGGTCGCGCACCGCTACACCCACCACCCCACCTCCGCCTGGCCATCTCCCCCCTCCCGATTGTTGCAAGTGTCAGATGTGGTTCTGAAAAGATGCATTTTAAAATGTCTCTAAACTTCAATTAATGCTGTTTTCTAGTTTGAGATCTTCATATTAAAATTTTAGTGCTATACAACAGCATTAAAAGCCAATTTAATTTAATCTAACCAATTTATGTTGTTAGTTACATTTAAAATCTAATTCCAATTCAAGCAGAATGACCTATTGTCTGAGTGTGGTTTATTTTCAACTCAAAATATCTTCAAACTAATGAAATATAAAGTTAATAATGAGAAAAATCTGTCTGGATAACAGCAGACTGACTGCTTGTAAAATATACGACAGGTCTGGACCACATGGGAATTTTGTTCGTATCGTAAAATCTTAGAATACGAAAACATTGGTGAATGCCACAAATTCTCCTAAATCACTCGTACGCACAACTTAAGAACAAATCTGTGCGTACGAATGGTTCTTGCATGAAGCCCACTGAATCTAACCATAAAAATAGCTAAACTGTGTAAACCAGCAATCATACTGACTGTTACTGAGTTTTACGTGATTTTCTCAAGATCCCAAGATAGTTGTTTTGTTATCTCGAGAAAACAAACTCATTTTATTAAGATAACATGAAACTGTCTTGAGAAGACACAGCATGATTTCCTTTGACAATATCTCATCTGGAGAAAACAAGTTCTGTTTTGTCGAGATAAGCAGTTTAAAAAAAATCAAGCCTGTCCTTTCTCACCTTCTGTATAAATCTAACCAGATCATCCAATGTTCAATTCAAGTGAATGTTTGTGTTTTCCAAAACTGAATTATGTAATCAGTGAAGTAATGGGCCGATAGTTCAACCAGGAAAAATCAACTTTTGCTCACCTTCACATCACAAATAGTTTTTCTTGTTGTTCTTCAGAACACCTTAGGTCAAAACAAGAAGTCAATAAATATCAAAATGCTCAGCAGCTCACATGTTCATGTTCAAAGCTAAACCCGCGAGTCTCTGACACAACACAAAGCTAAAACA